AGAAGAAAATAAGGCAACGACGTCAAAAGACAAGAAGCATTCATCAGGGCTTACATTGAGGCCATCGATCCGGTTAAGGAATTCGTGGGAGCTGTTAATGCTGTAACGAGATCCGTGAGTTAGCGGCTTCAGATGCTTGTACAGCCACTTGGCCAAATTATAAGTAGGGGATCCGATGAGCGGTACTATAATCCTCAGTGGGTCACCAGTTTTGTGAACCTTTGGGAGACCGTACGCGTGTGCGATATGGGGATCACTGAGGGTCATAAATTTTGAGTCATCTGGACCTATGACTTTCAGACGAGCAAGCTCATTGACCTTTTTCTTGATGGCTGCGGCTTGCTTTTTCGTTGGGTCTTCGGTGAGAATGGTATAAGAATCCGTGTCACTAAAGATTATATTCGCCTTGTTGACGTAGTCAGTTTTGTCCATGATGACGGTAGCGCCACCTTTGTCGGCGGGAACAACAACAATACCGTGGTCCGATTTCAGTGCTCGCAATCCTTGCGCTTCTTCGGCCGATAGAGTTTTCTGGTGTCTTTTTTGCCGGAGGATACCAGTGGCACAGCTGCGTATGTCAGCGCGCTTGTCTTCAGGTAGGACGGAGGTCAGTAGAATGGATTCGAGACCAGCTAGAAAGTTGGTAGGTGAAGCATCCGTAGGATTAAATCCTATTCCCTTAGACAGGAGGTTGATTTCAGCCGGTAGGAGATCCCTTTTAGAGAGGTTAACAACTCTCGTGGTCATACTCCTTTCATTCATGGGGCGGAGCAGAGACTGGAGTTTCATCTGGAGATCAACTCTCTTCTTCAATCTCGCATCCTTGGCTGTGGCATTAATTCGTTGTTGCACCTCCTCGAGTACGTTTTCAGGTAAGGCTGATGCACACTGATTTTTAAGGTCAGTAAGAATTGCTTCGAATCTGCGAAGTCGATTGTGGACGTCAGATATTATAGCTCCCAGAACGCGCCATCCATATTTGTACGCAAGGGATCTCCCAGTCTCATTAGACAGCGTTGGTTTGAAACGAAGATACTTCGGTAACACGCCGTGATCGCGACAACGGTGGAGGAAGGTCAATTGTTCGAACGTCGTCGCCTGTCTCTGTGCGAATTTCTCCCAACGTCTCGTAAGAATAAGCGTTTGACGCCCAAATATATGTTGTAGAGTAGAAGTGGTAGGCATTCCGAGACGATATAATGAAAAGGAAGGAGGTTCTTCGGAAAAAATCGAGTTGTACTCGTGAATTTTCGAATTGGTGGCACCAACCCGTCGTCAGACGAAATGAGGAGAAAAGAGAGATTGAGACAGTCACACTAGACTAGTAGACGAGGCAGGACAAACATTGACGGGCGGACCATTAGTGTGTGAGGAGGGATGCGGGTAGGGAGTCATGCTGGGTTCTGAGCGGGGAGGGCAGGAAGGTGGGGGGGGGGACCGTTACGACTCCCCGTGTTGGAGGGGAGGGAGAATGGTAGGTTGGCAGAACTGCCACATCCCTCGTCGCACTTCGGCTTATCAGAATTCCATACTGCCATTTCTAGCCCGGTATCTCACCTGCAAAGATGCTGAAAAACAAAAGCTTAAACTCGATCTTGCACCTTAAAGTCCTTTTTTCTTCATATATAAGTATGTCCACCTGTCCATACCTGTTAATCTCTATGGTAATCACTGTGTACTGGAGAACCATTTTTGTGGAAAGTTTTGAATGTTATTTTTAAAATAAAGCATTCCTCTCGCTCTCTCTCTCTCTCTCTTGCTGGTTCGACTCAACCACTTGCCTTTTTCTCCAAAAAGCCATTACCAGCTGAGACACTCTACAGTACCTTTGGCCGTGAACTACTTGCCATTTACCTGGCTGTGAATCATTTCCGGCATTTCCTTGAAGGTCGTCACTTCACTGTTTTCACTGACCACAAACCGTTGACTTTTGCGCTTCGGCCCCACTCCGACAAGTACAATTCGAGGGAAATCGTCTACCTGGACTACATCTCCCAATTCACCACCGACATCCACCACATTGATGACACGAAGAATGAGGTGGCTGATATACTGTCCAGACCCTCACTGTCTTCCCTCCAACTATCACACGCGATAGATCTTTGCGCCATGGCGGCTGAGCAACAGCGAGTCGGTTGTCCTGGCGACGAGTCTGTTAGTGGTCTCCTACTCAAAGACGTTCCTCTGACCACCGGTTCTGGTACCATACTTTGTGACGTCTCAACTCCCTTTCATCACCCTTTTGTGCCCGCCTCGATGCGTCGAGCTGTATTTCAAGCTCTGCATGGACTCTCCCACCCTGGGATCCGATCCTCTCAAAAGCTCCTCGCGGAAAGGTTTGTCTGGCCTGGCATGAACAAGGACGTCAAAGCTTGGACCCGGTCGTGTCTGAACTGCCAGCTTAACAAGGTGCAGTGTCACAACAAACCACCACCAGGCGCTTTCCCCAGTCCCGACGCACGGTTTAGCCATGTGCAACTGGATGTCGTAGGCCCTTTGCCTCCATCCAGTGGTTTCACCCACCTCCTTACCTGTGTCGAGCAATATACCCGCTGGGTTGAAGCGACTCCTTCGCTGAATGGGCAGGCTGAAACCATCGTGAAGGCCTTCGTTAGTCGTTTAGTCGTCATGTTCGGTGCTCCATCCACGGTTACGACTGATCGTGGTGCCCAGTTTGAGTTGGCACTCTTCCAAACGCTACTCAATTTCCTTGGCTGCACACGCATTCGGACGACAGCCTACCACCCATCTGCCAACGGCATGGTTGAGCGTTTTCATCGCCAGCTAAAGACTGCCCTTCGTGCCGTAAAGACTGCCCTTCGTGCCGTAGAAGACACAGGAAACTGGTCGGACAACCTTCTTCTTGCACTCCTCGGCATCCACGCAGATCTGAAGTCGGATATGGGCTGCAGCGCAGCTGAATTGGTTTTCGGCATTACCCTCCGGCTACCATGCAAGATGATCACCCCAACATCTCGTGGGGCCGACGAGACTCCTGACAACCTTGTGCACCGTTTGCGGCAATTTATGCGCTCGCTTTCCTCGGTTCCACCTCGAACACCAATGACTGAGTCTTATGTCGAAAAAGACTTGGACAGCTGTACTCATGTGTTCGTTCAGTGTGACCATGTGCGTCAGCCGCCGGAATCACCATAGGAAGGACCGACCTGCGTGCTCGCGCGCAACGCCAAGACCTGCCGGATTCTTCACAGTGACAAGGAGGCCGTGGTCAGTGTCGATCGGCTCAAGGCTGCTGTTGCGGAGGCGCCGCCGGATCGGTCACTAGGACACAAATGTGCTGACCCTCTAACCCCTGTTCCTCCATCTTCCCTATCCCCTGCTCATTCACCCGGCTCACTGCCTCGCCCTTTCCCTCCCTTGCCCTCTGCCCCTCCGTCCCGTATACTTCCTTTGCCCCCATGTCCGCAATCCACAACTGCAACTACTCATTCATCAACCAACAACACTGTAAACTCGAGCCATCCTCACCCTAACCCTGTGTCCCCCTGTATATATCACCCGTAAGGGACGCCATGTTCCTTTTCCTGACCGTTTGGCTACTCCTGTTTTTAGGCATCAACAGTTCCGACATCACGCCGGGGTCACCAATTGTCGAAAGTGGCGTGGTCGAGAAGATAAAGAATCCAAATCAAAAGTCAGGGAAGACGGAGTGAGTTGGCCAACTTTTATTGCCTGAGGATATGCGTACACAAGGGCTCTGTACGCAGTCGCCGCGAGCGGGTTCCAAGCAAGCTGTTGCCTGTGTTCGCCATCGAGGTGTTGTGACCCAGCGCGTGCGTGCTCCTTTCGTTGTCTACGCGTCTGCCAGCCAATAAGAGTGGGGACGGCGTTGATTGGCTTCGAGCAATCGAGAGCATAGTGGCAAGCATCGCGCGTCCCAGCAGCGTATCGACAAGGAGTGGGAGGCGGACAGGAAAGCAGCGTGGCAAAGGCGGAGGGCGAGGAGACGCGAACTGCCACAAATTTCGGTTCGATGAAGTGCTTATGACACATCTGATAGACCCCAATGGTGGGCCAGCTGCGTTAGTTGTGTCTGCGAGCATATTTGTGATTCCGCTGTCAGCTGCTGGTCAGGGTTACGATTGGCTGAATCAAGGCCAACAAGCCCGATACACTGCTCTATCTATCAACCACCCCACACCACCCCAGCATTCTCTCTAGTCTACACGCTGCTATCATATCTTGGCCGACTTCGGTCTGGTAGATGGTTGCCGCTTCGTCACCCCTATCGCCCATACGAAGCTTCTTTGCTTCGGAAAGCCAATGCATCTGTGTGCGTCCATTCCTGTTTGTAGTCATATACATATATGTAATACATAGAATTCTCGGTCGACATTTTTCTAGTTTTACTCTTCAGTTTTCGAGATGGTGACACTAACCCATCGTCAGACGAATAAGGGAGATTGGAACGTTAAATGTTCAGATAGATGTGGTTAAATTGCCGGGGCAGCCAATAGCTGGCAAGCAGCTAATTTATGAATTTGTGTTTGGAGACTTTTTAAGGCTATGTTCTCTGGCGGCGGATGGGAGGTGTAACATCTGGTGCTGCCTGTGTTGTAATGTAGCGTGTGTGGTTAACGATTATATGTGACTACCGTCAGTGGACTTAATGATCGTCGGTCCGGCATGCAGGCAGAGGCCAGTGAGCCAACGTAGATAGGTTAGTGTTTGCAGTTGCGGTTCGCTGTCCCTGGGGTGGTAGGTGGCGAAATAATGCGATTATACATGGCTCGGTGTGGATTAATGGCTGTTGTTAGGTCGTGGATGCAAGTTGGTGAGCCAGGCACGCAGACCTTCGTAATGAGCGTACAGATTGACATTGCGATTGATACTAGTCGTGTTAGATTGCCAGGTCTCGAGGAATTCTCGGGCCTGTTTTGTGTTGCCATATCAACAATTTCAGTTCCTTCCCAATTGAAGCGATGGTCGCATTCAAGGGCGTGCACAAACACGAGTGACAAAGGATCACGTCGGCGGATGTCTAGATTATGTTCGTTTATACGCGTCCCAAGTCCTCGGCCTGCATGACCAACATAGTCGCAAGAGCAGTTAGAACACGGAATTCGGTAGATGACATTGCTTTGCTGCTCGTTGGATACAGGATCTTTCACTCGGGACAGTGTTGCGCGCAGAGAAGACGCTGGTTTTTAGGCAATGGAGATGTCAAACCGGTTAAGTTGTCGGGCGATCGCTTCGGAAATGCCCTGAATGTAGGGTAGAGAGTTGAATTTCCGTAGTTCTGGCCCCTCAT